CATGTGGATCAACACATCAGCCCCTGGGGGCTCGAAGCTGTAAACATCATGAGTCCCGGGGGGCTGCGGTCAGACTGGAGGCTGGGGCCAATCAGAACCGATCGATGCTGCTCTCCTCTGTTAACACGTGGAGGATTAATCAAGCTGCGCGTGCACTTGACTTAGGAAACCCGGGGGTCTTATTGGCTCGCCTCGCTCTGTAGCACAGTACCGCAGGAGGAGCGCGTGAATGAGCGCGTTCCGGTGAACTTCCAGGCGCTGTCCGTGGTGCTGGATCGCCTCACATTTGGACCCTCCATCTTTCTTCTTCTTTTTTATTTATTTATTTTTTTTATTTCACACCTGCAGCCCACTGATGATCGACCAGGATGATGGCGCTGCACGGATTGGACCTGACATCCGACACTTCTTTCGCGTGAAATCCCGGATGAAGGACCTGTGGGATTAAAGGCTGAAAATGTTTCGGTTTGTTCAGTTCGGTCACAGCTTCTGTCTCCACTGACCACCGAGAAGCAGAGCGTTCATTCACTCCACGGAGGAATTCTGCAGCTTAGACAGAAAAATGACCTATTTTGATTTATTTACGCCTCGACAGTAGGACGTTTGCCTTTTTTTTTTTTTTAACAATCTGAAAAGAGCAAGCTCATCCTCCGAGGCATGGCTCGTCTGCTGGTTTGGGTCAACTCCGTGGTCCTGTTGCTTTTTGGCAGCGACGTGTTTTTGGTTGGAGCGAGTAAGTATGGAAATATTTCTGCAGCTCTAATTATCCATATTTTACTGCACTTTGTCCTTTGTGATCACAACATGCAGCTGACTGTGACACCTGTTCAACCTGAAGCTGAGTGCAGCTTCCTCTAAATTATTCAGTTATATTTCCTACTGTGAAAAAAGAAAAGAAAAGAAAAGAAAAGAAAAGAAAAGAAAAGAAAAGAAAAGAAAAGAAAAGAAAAGAAAAGAACAAGTACATCTTCAACAGGTATCAACATCTCTGCAGACACATTTTTCTTGCAACTAAAGACGAGCAATCGAACCATCTAAAAACTTTTTTGAGACTAAAAAAACTATTTTCTTTAAAAGGAGAGGATTTTCTGTGAAAATACAGCATGAACGTTGGGGCTAAAAGACAGAAATAGCTGAAGCTGAGCAGGTAAAATAAAATAAACAACAAATAGCTAAAGGCTAAAAAAAGAAAAAAATTGCTAATAAATGTTGCAAAGTAGTTGTTTAAACCCTAAAATAGCAAAACTCTAAAATTCCAATAAACAACAAAGTACTAGCTAAAAAAAGCACAAATCCACACACAAAGGTAGCACAAAGGCAGCTAAAAGGAAAACACTTAATAAAATCTTAAGAGCAAAGAACTAGCTGAAAGCTAGCTAAATACTAATTAAAACCTTTAAAAGCAAAGTACTAGCTAAAAATTGCATAAGACTAGCTAAAATTTAATAGCACAAAGGTAACTAAAAGCTAAAGTAGGAAACGCTTGTTAAAATCTTAAAAGAATAAATACTAATTAAAACATTTAAAAGCAAAGTACTAGCTAAAAATTGCATAAGACTAGCTAAAATTTAATAGCACAAAGGTAGCTAAAAGCTAAAGTAGGAAACGCTTGTTAAAATCTTAAAACAGTAAATACTAATTAAAACCTTTAAAAGCAAAGTACTAGCTACTGTAAATAGCACAAAACTAGCTAAAATTTAATAACACAAAACTATCTAAAAGCTAATGTAGCAAAATGTAGCTAAAAGTTAAATTAACCTAAAACTAACCAGGAAGAAAAGAAGCAGGTCTTAGCTGAAAGTCAAAAAAAGCAACATGACAACTAAAAGCTAAAAATAGCAAAGTACTTTCTAACAAACAAGTTAAAATCTAGAAGTAACACAGGACTAGTTAAAAAATTTAGTCTATATATATA